CTGAAAAACTGTCAAGGTTAATTTCTGATAACGTCACGATAAGCCAACTGACCTGATTTTGTCGGGAGGAGTAATGGAAATTAGCAATCCCATTGTTAACCTATTAGGTCGACCTCCACGTGGTTTCCCCTGGAAACCATCGTGAATGATTTATTGTTGAATTCATCACGATAGGCCAACTGACATGCTTCATCATCATCTAATATTCCTCAGTGTTACCCCGCCTGTGTATACCTATAGCTCAGGCGGGGTAACAATTCCATTATCAATTATTAAAAAAGACCTGATTTCGCTCTCAATTATTCTCGTTAGCATAAACCAATAACGCACGCAAGGTAAAAAGGGATTGCTTTGCTAGCAATATAGAGTATATTGCTATACCAAGTCGACGCTGATTCCGAAAACCATCATGGTTACTGACTTGCTTTCATCCTCACCTATCATCCTTCATTGGTGGTCCGCTAGCTTATACCGATAACGCAAACGAGGTTAACATTCCATTATCAACAATTAATAAATAAGCCATTTTTACTTTTAATAAAAGTCCTTAAAGCGTGATTGAATATGCCCTCTGTAAATATGCATAATATGATACTCTGTATCCCTTGACATACTATAAAATATAAATAAAATTTTTCATCGTGCCTCCAAACCAAATTGTTTAATTACTCCTCTCCATCCAAAGGTTGCTTGGAAGAGATCGCTCTTAGCGATAAGGTCACCCATTGTTTTCTCATTGTGATTATTTCTTGTAATTATTTATATTTATAATAAGTTTACTATTGTAATCTTGTGGAGGAAACAATAAAGAGTATCTATCTATCTATCTATAAAAAAAAATACTCTTGTTTCTATATTATAATCGTAATATGACCATATCAGGAGCCTTTTTAAATACTACTATACCTACTGCAAGGGATCAATAACATTTAATATCCAAATATGACGCGTATCATGCCCGATCTGCGCCCATTTAGCGAGCAGAAAATATTCCATCATACAAAGTACATTATTCATGTACCTAGATTTTTGCATATGTACATGTTTGTTTTGCGCTTCAACGCTACTGGATCATAAAATATCCTTAACTACTATGGAATATTTATCGCAATTCGTGCAGGCAAAGCCACGTGTTACGAGTAAGCTAAACTGTATAATCGTATTTTACTACTAATATCAAAAACATTAATTTTTGTAATTCCAAATTTTATCAAATGTCAACCTGCTGGATGCTGAATCAACAGTATCAAAAATATTATTCACTAGAGATGTGTACGCGTAAATTAATCTAAAAAATAAATATCCCCTGTATTAGTAACGGTAGCTATTAATCTCACTGTTACCCATGTATCCTGTCAGGTCGACCTCCACGCGATTCATTCTGAAAATTACGTGGGTAATTCTTGATGAATACGTTACGATGGGCGAACGACTTGTTCCTCACCTATAATCTCTCACTTCACTAGAACCCTGTCTTATCTAAATAAATATTGTCAAATTTTCGAATCTAGAATAGGTACATTATTTTTTTTAATAAAATCAAATTGACATAACCTGATATATATTATTTGATTGACATAATGTTATCGCTGTCATTATTTCGATATCACCTGTTTTTGTCTTAAAATGCAATTATATTTATCCCCGCAAATACGCTACTTAATGTAAACAATGATAATTTATTACTCATAATGCTTAGTTCCATAATATTTATTATATTAAAAAAAATATTGAATGAATTATACTAAGTTAAATTACCTCCTGACGACATATTCTGATAGCATTCGGACCCGCATGTTTTTAGGCTCGCTCTAAAGGCTGAATGCGTTCCAGTTTTTTTTTTGTTTATTACTATGGTGACAAACAGGCGTACAACATTACCTCCATTTAACATCAGGCAGGTAGTCTGATGGTAAACGGAGTTACTGTAATACAGTAGGTAGTAGACGTCCATAGGCTATACAGTAACTATATAGCCTATGGACGTCTGAAACACCAGAGATTGCGGACACTTTAAAAACCTTAAAACACTTTTTTTACATACATACATACATATCTGTCACGCCTGTCTCCCATTAGGGTAGGCAGAAACAATGGAACGCCAAATGCTTCGATTCAAACAAACCTCTTTCGCTTCTTCCACATTCATCAATCTTGTCATACACGCTCGTCGGTTACGGGTACTTTTAATTTGGCCCTTCTTCAGCACGTCGCCTATTTGGTCGACATACGTCCGTCTAGGGCGGCCCCTACCGACATTTCCATTCATTCTTGCTCGATAAATCTCTTTTTTTATAAATATAATTATAATAAATAACTAAATATAATAGTTACTTGGAAATAATGTTAGCAAGTAAAAATTGTCCACTTTTGAAAGTCATTAAATATCACATAGGCTACCTTTTCGTGTACTATAAAGGTGATAATCAAGCGATTAGCTCATCGAATGGTAAACGATTGCCTTAGCCTATGAACGACTGCAACACCAGAAACGTCACAAGCGCATCGCCAATTTGAATACGTCTTTTTTTAATAATACCATTCTATTAAAATTAGGAGAAATTATCACCCAGGTACCCCAAGTACAATACAGGATATTGGGGGGAAAAGGGATTGATAGTAATGAGTTCTAACGGCATTATTTCTAACAGATCGACATTTACGCAGTTCCCTTTGGAAACCATCGTGGTTAATTCTTGTTTAATTCTTTACGATTACAACTGACCTGCTGTCATCCTCACTACTCAACTATCACTAGTGCCCTGCCAACGTATACCAATAGTGCAGGCGGTAGTACCATTCCATTTTCAACCATTAAAAAAACTATACAGAATACTTTGTATTATTAGAAAAATGTCTCTGTGTGGGAAAATACAGAAATTCGACGCGTGAACGTTAGTTGCGAATACGCAGTACGAAATATACATTTCTGATACTTTTACAAGTTGTTACAATATTTATTCAATAGATATTTTCTCATATTACTGATCCCACTTTATGAGCATTTAGTGGAGTCGTAATTCATTTGTCATTTTTTGCACATAGCTCAACTCGTATGTGCTAAACGAAATGTCTTGTAACATGTGATGGTTTTATTATATCCAGACGAGAGCAATGCAAATCTTTGACGTCAATTGTGAGACGAAATATTGGGATATTTTTGGCTTTATTCAAATTAAATAATAGTCAGCATTCACTAAATATATGATAAATGGTGATTTAAAGACAGATCTAAATCATCCATATACTTTTAAAATGAATATTATTGTCGTTTTTTTTTTATTAAATGAAGTGGCTTATAAGGTGTTTGATGACTTGATGAAAAGTGCTAACTATCGAATAAAAAGATACTATCGAATAAAAGAGATGTCGATCATAATTAAGATATTTTTTTTAGGTTGCTAACTGAATATATCATATGTCAAAGTAAAATTTATGTTATTGTTCATTAGCTCAGCCAGTCATCCACTATCCGCTGCTGAACACAGTCCTCCCCTATAGACTGCCATAAGGAAGGCTCCTGAGCCACCTGCATCCACTGACTCCCTGCAATACATTTAAGGTGAACTGAACCTTTCTTCCCGCCTTATTGTAACCTATTTATATTTGTACCTATTTCTACAAGATTTCTAAACTGATTTTTATAGTTTCATTTTAAATCGTATTTTTTTTTTAATATTAAATAATCATAAAACAAAAATGGTGAAAACATTTGGTTTCAAATATGACAGGCGATGCAGATGTCTTTAATTATACGGTGTGAACGCTGTTAATGACTTTAGTGAATCTATGATAAATATAGAAATTAATAGATAAGACTTGGATTCCACAGTTAATAAGCATTAATTAATTTTAATACCGTTATCCTATAATAATTTTATAGCATTACCCAGCCAGAGAGGTGCCACTTTTATGTGTAATATTTAATAATATAAAATGCTTAATAGCTCAATTCAATAAAGTAAATTTCTTCATCGCGCTAAAGATCGTGAACGTAATCACAGCAAATGATAGGAGGCGAGCTTAAAGACTGCTCTGATGGAACATAGGTGTATTAAGTAGAAAACTTACCTACTTATCACAAACTTGCTCCTGTTACTATGCCTACATATACAAGTATACTACAGTGGCAAAATCCGTCAGAAATTATACAGTCGATTTATCTATAATATTCATTTACCTCAAAATAAGCGCCATCTAGTGACAACTTTGAAGAAAGTGAATAAATAAAAATTGTAACAAAATGCATAACTTGCATACTAATCTATCAATCATGATTAAAAGGATCCAATATTAATATATGAGTAGAATAGGAATAAATACTCGCGAATTCATTAAAAATTCTATTCTTTTTCTTTAGTTACGTAAATCATTTAATCAGACAATAAATTAGTCTCTTTGAAAGATGTAATGACTTTATATATTCATTATTATATGATTAATCTGATAACAAGATACAATGATGAGACTATGACTGTAAGCATACGAAACATCAATTCATAGTGGTAATACTGTTGTAATTTGAATTTTATTATATATTGTATTTAATTTTAATTTTATTATATATAGATTAATTTAAGACTTAAAATTAAGCAGAAGAAATAGTGGTCAGTTCTTTTAAATTCGACCAACTACAGTTAAATATGAAATAAAGAATATATATATGCTCACGACTATAATACCAAATAAAGTAGTCAGATGTATTTGACTACTGTTGTTGTTGTAGGGAATGTAACACTAGACTCGCTTACATTTCATAGAGTATATTAGAAGCCAACGTGGTAAAGGGCGAGCCTACCGCCGTCACTTCAAAGAATATCAATATTTGAATAATTTTAAATAATTGTATCCTAACAATATTATTATGAAACCAACATGATATCAATTGCAATAAGAAATATTAAAATCGGTTTAGAAGCCATAAAAATATCGGACCACGCACACAAAAAGGAATATATTTAAATGCACTTAAAAAGAAAAATCTTACTAATCAAACTTACCATCAGGAGGCACAATATCTTTGCAGAGACGGCAAGCTGTGGTAACCTGAAACAGGAAAACAGAAAATATCTTAATTGCGTTAATCATATCTGATAAACCCTAATTCCCATTTGATAATTTTATAAGATTGATAGGGGGAGGGCCTTGATGATTTCCGTATGATGATGATGGAGCAAATATACAATTTCTGCTTTTCATACCCAATCTATACTTATAATAAATCTGTAGAGATGTCAATTCTGTACATGAAATATATTTCCAAAATAACTATCAGGGGATGATTAGTGATCGATGCTGATGCCAAAAATGCAATCAGTAAAATTTTTGTCCGTCTGTCTGTCTGTCTGTATGTTTATTTATTTATAAAAGACACACCAACAATATGCTGACAACAATTAAGCAGACAATATACAATGTTATGAGCAAGTAAAAGAAATTTCGTTATAGATACAAAAACTACTCGACGGATTTTAACAAAACTTGGTACAATTATTCTTCATACTCCTGGGCAGGTTATAGTATACTTTTCAACACGCGACTATCAATAGGAGCAGAGCAGTGAAGAAAAATGTTGGGAAAACGTGAGAAGTTACTCCATTTTTAAGCTTCCGTCGCATGTGCAGCCTTAATGGCCACTGTTTAAAATGTAAAAATGTCCACCCGTGCAACGCCGGGACGGGCCGCTAGTCTGTCGTAAATATCACGACACACCCTTATACGAGTATACGGGTATAAAAGAATGAAAACACGACATAAAACCATATACCAAGCCTATTAACTTCCTAAATAGGCCAGCCCTTCCTTTCTCGTGGATGTTGTAAGAGGCGACTATAGGAGGACGAGGGATAGGCAGCAGTGTCCATCTTTAAACATCTCTAAAAGCCTAACTGCGGTTCTTAACCCGCCTGCCAAACGTGACAACTACTATCAAAATTCCGCATATGAGGAAGGCTTATATTGAGCAGTGAATAGTTAACGGCTGAAATATTAATATAATAATAATTAATCTCCTATTTTTTATAAAACAAAAGTGGCAAGCAAGCATGCAGCCCGTCTGATAGTAAACTTTAATTGTAGCCTATGTACACCTGTAACATCACGGATATCACGTACGCGTTTCCGACCCTGAAGGGATATACCCTTTTTAAAGAATCGCATACTGTAGTCATTAGGTAAAATCATGGCAAAGAACTTATTCTACAGTCTCAGCGTTTGCGGGTGGAAATTACTATGAAACCGATCTGTACGCGACCATTTAGATTCTAGCTTGTGAAGATGAAATCCCTGTCAATAGCGAATGGAGTGATAATGAAAGATATCTGTGTCGGTCCTTATAATAGGAGAGCCATGTCCACCAATGTGACGTCAATGGGATATATATGACTTTGCAATGGGTTGTTATAGGATTTATTAAATGGTTCGTCCATAAACTGCTACGGTTTATTCCAACAAGCTCTACGAAATATTCGCAAACAAACGCTACCTTTAGAAGTTACCAATGCCTATAACTACATCACCTGCTATTACACTTGTCTCTTATTTACTTAATTTATATTAAAAACAGGTCGTTATCAAGTAACTACATTTTATATTTATGAGTTACTGGCAACTAGCTTAAGTCGTAAAACGTCATCGTATCTACGAAACGAAAACAATGATCAGTACAGTTATCACGTTATGATAGTAGCTATTTGGGTGGTCTCCGTTTTTATGTAACAATTTGCGATTTAAGACTGATGACCTTTCAAATAAAATAAACATTTTGGAGCAAGATTTCAAAGTTCAAGATTCAAGAAAACATAATACTTTTAAATCGCGATCGTGAAACAGAGTGTGTTTAAAGAATTTGTTTGTGTAGCTCTTCGTAGTAATGCAGTTCTTAAACGAATTAATGATTTCAATGCCTTTTTCTTCTTTTCTTTTTATTGTCAGCTTATTTAATACAAATTATTTCCTATTTCTAAATTATAATATCGAAATGTTTTTAGTTTTAATTCAATTTTTACACCTACGAGTTTACCTTCTGATGTATAGCTATTTCAGTTTGGTTCCACGAATTACTTCCCAGAAAAAGTAATAATAAGTTCTCTTATCCACATATGTATATGCTAATGGATAAAAGGCCAAATTTTATAAATGGTATGAAAAGTTTACTTCAGAAACCATAGATGAAGACTTCTTAATAAATCTTTGATGAAATATTTCTATAGACCTCCTATTACTTACTTTATATAAAAGAAAGAAAGTAAAAGTAGTCAATCTATAAATGTGTAACGGAAAAAAAAACATTTTCAGGTAACAATATTGTGAGTATAATTTAAATATCATTTGGGTTTATTTATTACGTATAAATCGTTTCTTGTAGAATCCACTTGAAAATGGAAAGTGTAAACATAGCTCACAATGTTTGTGATGTACTAAAACATAGTTGATTGACCACGCCAACATGCAGGGTATCTCAATAAATATGGTCAACATACGAACTACCGTTAGATAATAAACAATTATGTACTGTATTACCTTTAAATTAAGATTAATATTCAAGTGGCAGTAAAATCAGAAGCCGATTATATTGTTTGTTACATTTTTTTTTCACATCACTAAGATAATGTAATTAATTAATACGAGTATCTACAAAACCAAACACAACCGTAACGTATGTATCATTAAAAAAATATTTTATGTCATGATATTTTGTTAGAATGTCCTAATTCTTATCATTAGATAACAATTATTAAAACAAGATTTACATATTTTAAGATAGTAGACATTTCAAGATAACCAATTACTTCCGTATATATATTCGTCTATGTACAAAACACGTGTCCATATGAAAATTCAAATCCGAAGACAAAAAGTGAAGTCTTCGAAATCGTATCACTTCTGGTTAATTTAATACTGAGAAAAGTCGGTAAGTACACAAATGTCGTTATTCAGTAGCATTATAATATGGTCTTTACGGAGAAATGGACACAATTGAGTTTATTTTTACGCAAACGTAAATAGTGCGCAAAATACTATAAGATGGATTCTTATATCATCATTATCATTTTAGTCATTAATTGGGTTCTATTGTATAATATATAATATAATATATTTATTTATAACTTATATAAAACTTTGTACAAATAGCAAGGCTTAATGGCATATGGTATTTTCTACTAGGTAACCATTAGGTAAAAACAGAAAGCGTATGAAGGAAGGACGCGGTGAAAAATATGTGACAATTATAGTAACACATTAAAGCAATACACAATACATAAAAAATGCACATATAATTCATAAACATTACTTTTTATACATATGGATACACTAATACATACGAAATATATATATATCATGTCATGAGAGTAGTCATAAGATGGAGTCACGAGGTAACAAACATAAAAATACAACTGAATTGAGAACCTCCCTCTTTTTGAAATCAGTTAAAAAAGAAAATCATAAACAGACTGACATAATAACAAGTACCAGCAGGAGACCTATTAAGTTGACAGGAATAAGTATAGTATAATATATATTGCGTCAACCCTAAATGGATGGACTTAGACATAATAACTAACACCGAACGAAGGTGTATGTAAATATAACTAAAATGATCCATAATTATCGAAGTCGAGTAATATGATACCTGGATATCATAATTGTAGAATTAAACTCCTAAGTTCATAGGCCACCTAACAACTAATTATGCGGTTGGGTAAAATCTGACGAAAGATGATATGACACGATTTTGTTCACACATACCAAATCCACTCAATTTTAACCCTTATATCAATACATATATGCCATATTATTTTATTCAATTAATTTATAACCACTCACGTACATTTTAACATTATATAGAAATAGTTAATATTTTCATAATAAGTCGTGATTATCCACAAGTTGCCGATGTCAATCAACAAAGTTAAGCAACATTAAAAAGGGACGATTCCTAATTTCTTCTTCTTGCTCGATCTCTCGTTTCTAAAGTTCGCAACCACGAATTATTCCCTACAATAAAGTACATAATATTCCAAAATAACCCATATTGACTGCCTTTACCAGGCCACCAGAAGAGTTTTATCAAGTGGTACTTCTTTTTCTATCTGACACATATATCGTCCAAGAAAGAAATACGAATGTAATGTCGTGGTGCAGTGTGTAAAGCAAAATACCATACTAATGCCAGTACCAATAACAGTATAGTCTTCACGTTTGACCCTCAATAATGGCAATAAGGGACGTATCAGGATTTACTGTGATAATCAGTCGATCAGATTTACAAATCAAATTTCACTTATAAATCAAAACAAATGTCTCATACATATTTCAACTGCGATCCTAAACAATAATTAATGATAAAATAGATATTGCAATTTCGCACATTGGGAGTGATTTAGATATCCGTAGCTACTGAGTATCACGGGCAAAACAGTATATTATACGGACATCACTGTAGTATAATACCCAGAATTCATTAGATATCAACATTGCATTTGCAAGAAGTGTATAAATAAATAATTGTTGGATATCATCTATTTACATACTTGCACTAATGAACAATTAGTAGAGTTGAAAAAAATCGTTAATATTCCAAGAAACTTCATTTTAAGCATTTTTTGCATAGTTATTTTTATAAATCTACTGCCCGATTTAAAAAGCAATTTTGACTCAGAAGAATGACAGAAATCTCTTTTATCACTCTTAATAACTCATCATCAGGTGATGGTAGGAGAATTCCGAGATTTATTCCAATTATTATTTGACTTCGGCGTAATATGTTTTTCTTTTCCATTCTCTATTCATAGTCATTTCCACATTCAGTCTTATTCTGACCATATCATCTTGCACACAGTCCATCCATATCTTTTTAGGCCTTCCTTTGCCCTTATAGCCATCCACATTCATACCTAATACCTTTTTTAAAACATGCTCCTCATATCTGCGCATCACGTGTCCATACCAGGACAGACGGTTACTCCTTAAGTTTTCAATCACTGACGTTACTTTCATACTTCCTTAATAATTGATGATAATGGTATAATTAAAAAAAAAAACGA